TCTCCCCAGCTCCCCCGGTGTCCCCTTCCTGGAGCTTCCCTGCTCCTGCATGTTCACCTGGGAGGTGGCACTGGCCGAGCCCAGGAAGATGAGGCCCTTCAATGCCACCAGGAGCAGACAATAAATGAGGAGTTGAGACCCCAGCAAGTGGATGCACAGCTCCAGCCCCTGTGCTCCCGGTGGGCTCCCAGCACCTAGCCGGCAGGGGCAGGCAGCGGAGCAGCAGGGAGAGCAAGGTGCGGGGCCATGGCCAGGCTCCCCAGCCCACTCCCTCCCAAGCAGCCAAACCACTGCATCTGCAGCTGAGGTTTTGCCAGGTGGGGCTGGAGCGAGCTGCAAGTTCCTGGTTTGTGCCTGCTCCTGGCACCTTGGGCATTTTGGTTCCTTAAACAACACTGAAGAGAAACAACTCTCCTCCAAAGCTTTTTGGGGCGACACTGGTAAAGATGGTTGTGCCATGAAATGCAGGATGTGGCATAGCCCCGGCGGGGATGGCGGTGGCCACGCTGCTCTCCCTGATGTGGCTGCTGATGCCACACATAAAGACCAGGGTTGCTGCAGGGTTTCAGCGGGGTGCAGGTGCCTGCTTTTTGGAGGTGCAGAACCTGGAAAATAATAGGATTAACAAAAAAAAGGAGCCCATGGTGCAGCTGGACAAGGTAAGCTTTGCTCTCAGGCTGAAAGTGGGAAGTTGCTGTAGCAGGGGGAACAGTTGTGGAAGGACACTGTTCACCTGCTCTTGCTCAGCTGCAGGTGAGCTTGGACATGTTTGGCTGGAGATGGGCATTGGGTTGCATCGGGCACAGCTGGCGGGGCTGAGGGCTCCCCTCCCTGCACCAGGGCTCATCTGGGCAGTGGTGGAGCAGGCACCGATGTGGCACCCCGGGACCCCATGTCCCCCCCAGCAGCATGTCCCTGCATGGCCCCACATATCAGCGTCAGCAGCCACCAGAGCCCCAAGCGGTGCTGGCAGCCGAAGGAGGGAGCGGGCGGACAGACAGACAGACAGACAGGCACCTGCAGGATACCCAGGCTTTATTGCAAAATTGTCTTCAGTTGGCAGCTCCAGCTCAGCAGATGCAGGCTCTCTGTGCCCCAAACCCTCCCTTCTCAAGCACAGGGGCTGCCAGGAGGGGCTGAGGCTTCACAGGGGGAGAAGCACCCGGTACCAAGCAGCTCCCAGTGTGGGGTGGCTGTGATGGGTGGCACAGTGCTGGCAGGGTGGGGGGCAAGTGGGCAGGAGGGTGTCCCTGTGGCTCCAAGGTGGTCAGGGTGGGGGAGCATCCCGGTGCCCTGGTGCTGCCAGCTGCGTTGAAGAGCTGTGGGTTTTCCTGGTCGTGGCTCCTGCGCCGGCTCCTCACGCAGGCAGCCCCGCACACCAGCACCAGCGCCACGGACACCTTCACGCTGAGGAAGAGCAGCAGGTAGGTGACACTGAGCTGGGACCTGGGCAGGAGAAAGGAGATGATGCTAGAGCTTGAGTAGGGTCTGGGCAATGAGGATGGGGACTGGGGCACTTGCATGCCTGCCAGCTGCCCCGCTTGCCCCCAGGATGCTCCTTGGGGCTGCTGCAACCAGGGGGGGATGCAGGGCTGGGGGATGCATGCAGGGGAAAAGGTGTCTTAGGCTGGGGGATGCTGTTGGGGGCTTGCCCACATCCCAAGCCCTGACTCACAGCACTGGAGGATCCCCATGGCCCCTGGGGCACAGGGGGTTGGTGGTCAGCGAGTTCACGCCCATGGTTGTGGTTGAAACAGCTGGGAAGAAAACACAGAGAGTCAGAGCAAAGCAGAGACCCCCGTACCCCATCCTGCCTCCTGCGCAGGGGGTCTCTGACCCAAGACTTCAGCTGTGGAGGTGCAAGAGGTGGAGATGGGGGTCCCCAGGCAGTGCACTGGGGATGGGGAGGAAGGAAAAGGGGGCTTTAACTGGGAGGGACTGGAAACCCCAAAGGATGGGCTTGTGGAAGCAGAGATGCTGAACAGTGAGGCAGAGGCTCTGCTCTGCACGAAGCTCCATGCAGCCGCCTCTGTCCCTCATTCAAATTTGCTCTGGGGCAGCCTCCAGTGGGTCTCGGTGCCTGCAAGGAGCTTGTTCCCACTTTGACAACCCCTGTGTTGCCCTGGCTGGGGAGGCCCTGTCCCCAGCACTGTGACCCAAGTGACAGGCTCCATTGCACGCCCCTGCTTTGCTCCCAGCCCGGCTTTACCTGTGGAGACCATCACCTCGATGTCATGCCGTAGGTTGAACCACAGCTTCCTCCTCACCCCGCAGGAGTACCAGCCTGCATCCCCTGGTGTGACACTGTCCAGTGTCACCGTGAATGAGCGTGCCGTGTGGTTGTCCCTGATGGACACCTTGCCCTGCGTCACCATCACCTCTGAGCCATTCGTTTGGATGATGTAGGTGAAGCAAAACCAGAGGAAGCCCGGGCGGCACCAGTACTTGTGGTGGAGCTCGTAGCCCGGCTCGTAGCTGCAGGACGGAGCCAGTGAGCTGCTTTGCTCAGCCATCACCTGCGTGGGGCCCGTCACTGCCCAGCTGCCTGTGGGGGACAGGGAGAGGTGCTGCAAGCACAGCAGGCACTGGCATCGCCTCAGGGAAGCAGGAGGGATCTGAGCCCCAGACACTCAGGGCACCCTGTCCTGAGGAGGGCCGTGTCCATGCACCCGCAGCGCCAGGGCGCGGTGTTGAGATGAGATGTCCCCAGTCATTAAAAAAAGAGCCCCCGTCAAGCATGCGTGTTATTAAACGAGCAAAAAGCCTTATTACCAGGGTTCATATGACAGCAATACAAGCATATCTCAGAGATCACCCCCTGTAGCTGTCCACTGGCCACAAGAACAGGAAGGTATCAGCTGCGCTCTTGCCGTGACCGCAGTGGGCTTCCTGGGCTGGCTCGGTCCCAGCAGCTCCTCAGCTCTGCCAGAGCCTGTGGGGTGGGAACTGCCTGACCTGTGCTCCCGGGTCTCACCTGGGAAAAGGGTCCAAATCAGGAAAATCCTCATTTTCCAGCTTCTCACTCTTGATGCGGAGTGTTCCCCGTGGTTATTCATAAAGCACCCTGCAGGATGGAGCCAGGTTTACACGTACCCATGTGTCCCAGGAGTTTCCCAAACCTCCTTCTCCCGTCACTGCCTTGGGCTGCGTTTACTCACAGACCCTGGAGGTCTTTCTTTCTTAAATGCAGTTGCTTCCTCCCCTTCATCCGGGGGCCATGACTCACCCCGGGCGTGTTTCATGAGAGAGACTCTCTGCTTTTGCTCTAAAGAAGCCACTGGTTCCCAGAAAAATGCCAAAATGCAGTGGGCTTCTCCACCGCGATGCCTGTCCCAGTAGGGATGGCAGCCCCTTCTCCATGCACAGGGCGTGAAGGGTTTCAGGGGACTTTGCAGGGGGGCTGGGCCAGAGTGCGGGTCCAGGGACCGGGCTAGAGTGAATGCAGGTCAGCCCCTGCGGATGGACCGGTTGGGACCACTGGGATGCTTTCCCAGTTGTGATGGGCTGGGATGATGGATGGGGATGATGGACTGGGATGGACAGCCATCCCCACTGCACCCCAGCTCCCAAGCCAGCTGCCAGTGTGAGCTGGGCTGCTTTTGCTTGTTTTCTCAAGAAGTGGTGTCTCATTTCCACCCCCAAAATGCCTTTTTTTGGCACAGCTGTGGGTTTTGAGCAACAACGCTGTTTTTTCTCCCAAAATTAAATGTTTCCACTGGAAGTTTCAGAAACACAAACACAAAAATCAAAGCCACTTCCCTGGCAGCTGCCTTGCCGACAGCTTTCTTTCTCGATGCCCCTTGGAAAAAGCAGAAAGCACAAACCCCCGGCCCCACCGGCGGCTGAGGCAGCTCCTTCCCCCCATCCTGTCCCCTCCCTCTCCCCCTGCCAGGGCAAGAGGAAGCTCTGCAGTTTCCTTCTCATCGAGTTCCCAGCACACTGGCTGACCGACTATGAGCCAAGTCCCTGCAAACAGCAGCAAGATCAAAATTCAAGAACTAGCTGGAGATTACAAACCTGCTTTCTGCTGCTGAGCCTTCCAGTAAAGGCTGGGCAGCCAGGGCTCCAGCCACCTCCCCAGCCACTCTCGTCTTCCTTGCCTTGAGCCAGTTCCCATTGCCCCCTCCTAAAGCAGCCCCAGCAGTACCGGGGTGCCCCAGGGACCCCCAAAGGGGATGGCAGCAGCAGAGCAGCTCTGTGGGTGCACCAGATTGTCCCCTCCAGACTGAGACCCCACAAAGGAATTTCGTTATTGGATTTATCTGAACCCAAAGGAATCTGCTTGCTGCTGAGCCAGGAGAACATCTTGCTCCTCAGCATGTGTGGGAATCAGGGATGCGGTTTCTTGCCAGCCGAGAGGCACAGGTCAATCTGTGAAAGCAACGTAGGGGCAGGGGGCTCTCGGGGTCCCACGAGCCAGGGCACAGTGCCAGCGTGGCCTTTGGCTCCAGCATCATGGGCAGAGGCTGTCACGCTGCTGAGATGCTGCGGTGATGGGGCAGCAGCAGCCGCCTCCTGCAATGCTCCTTCACCTCCTCTGACGCAGCAAGGACATTCCCAGGGGTGACCACAAGGACATCCCTGGGGGTGGCCCCGCAGGGAACCTCTGCCCACGAGGATACTCCGCTAGGACAGGTAGGAAACCTCTTCTGCCAGGAAATGTTGGCCAGGCGTCTCCATCACCTCCTCCTGACACAGGGCGTTTGTGTAGATACCATCATCCTCCGGCTCGGGGTCCTGCTCCATGTCACTGTAGCCACTCTGGCGAGGGGACAGCATGTCCCCACAGCCCTGGGACACAGCTGGGCGCTGCAGGGGCTGCCCAGGGTGAGCAACCACACTGCATGGCCCCTGCCCACACTGCCTGCACTGCCCATGCTGCCAGCTCCAGAGGACCTCACCTCCACCAGGGCCAGCTCATTGTTGTAGATGGGGCCGTGCTCCAGCTCCGCAGCAGTGCCCAGCTCGCAGGGGGGCGGTGGGGGCTTTGGTGTGAGGGGGCAGCGTGCCAGAAAGAAGAGGCATGGGGGGAGGTTTTCTGTCTCTCTGTGAGAGGAGAGCTCCCTGCAGCCCTGCGCCCAGGGTGGGTTTGTCCCCCAAGTCCTGGGACGGGCACTGAGCTGTGCCTGGGACGGGGCAC